TGTAGTAACAGACAGGGAGTTCCTCTCACTAGAATGTCCCAAAGATAAGGACAATATATACGGGACAAGCCTAGGAGGTGCCATTGTGCTTTTGGTACCTGGAATTCCTGTGTCCGGAACAAAGAGCTAAGCGGTTGTGACATTCCCCTCTGGTGTTATCAAGACCGGTGATCTAGGTCACTCCAATCCTTGACTCTGGGAGCCAGTCTTACTCTGATCTGCTGTGAGAACCCCCACTCCTGGGCTGTTCATGCACAGCCTCTGGCATGTAACTGCTCCTTGGATGTGCAACTGAATGACATTAGCCAATGTCTCCGGTCCCAGACACAACCCTGTGGATATGCCAGCCACTTCCGTGGAGCCCCTCCCCAATGTAAGCACCGCCCCACACACCAACCCCCTGCTCCAGCCCTGGGCCCCTCCCACGCCCAAACTACTGCTGTTTCTCAGCGGCTGGGAGGTGCAGTGGCCCCAAAGTGCTCCAGCAGCAGCTTCCCAGGGCTAGCCACACTGCCAGGCCACTTAGTGCGCAGAAACTGTGCAGTTGTAGCACTGTAAAAAAATACCTCAACGAGAGGCGTATGGCTATCTGCGGCAGTGCCAGTATAGAGACCCTGGTCGATTCCAGCGCTGCAATTGGCCTCCGGGAGGTGTCCCACAATGCCCGTTCTCGCCTCTCTGGTCATTGGTTTGAACTCTACTGCCCCCCAACCGTCATCCCCATCCCGTAAATTCCTTATGAAATCCCCTTCCTGTTTGCTCGGTGACCAGGGCCAGTGCAAGGAATATTCGCGCCCTAGGCGAAACTTCCACCTTGCGTCCCCCCAGCAAGCCCAGCCCCACCGCGGCAGCTAACCATGCCCTCCCACCCAGGGAGCCCCCGCCCCCCGCAGCAGCTACCCCACCTCTGCAGCTAATCCCATCAGGGGATCCCCCCTCCACGGCAGCTCACCCCACCCGCGGCAGCTAACTCCGCCCGTGGAGCCCGCCCCAGCTCACATGCGCTCCACCTCCTCCGCTGAGCACGCCGGCGCCGCTCTAATTCTCCTCACCTCCCAGGCTTGTGGTGCCGATTGGAGGAGAATTAGAGCAGGGGCCGTGTGCTCAGCGGAGGAGGCAGAGTGGAGGTGATCTGGGGCGGGGAGTGGTTCCTCTGTGCGCCCCCACTGTTACTGCTGTTGGCCCTCCCCGTGCCCCCCGCCCCAGCTCGCCTCCACTCCACCTCCTTGCCTGAGCAGGCTTTTAGGTGCCCTCAACCACTAGGAGCCCTAGGTGGCCGCCTAGTTCGTCTAGTGGTTGCACCGGCCCTGTCGGTGATGCGTGCAGTGGTCTCAGCACATCTTTCTAAGTGCCCATGCCTGCTCCACACACCAGGCGATCTCCCACTTGGAGCACTGCCAAGTTGCTGAACCTCATCACCATTTGGGGAGAGGAGGCTGTTCAGTGCCAGCTGGGCTCCAGCCATAGGAATTAGGATACCTACGGACAGATTTCATGATGCATGACAGAAAGGGGCCAGGACACATTGCAGTGCAGAGTCAAAATGAAGGAGCTGCGGAACGCTTATCTCAAGATGGAGGAGGCAAACCGCCACTCTGGTGCTGTACTCACAAGCTGCCGGTTCTACAAAGAGCTGGATGCGATACTTGGCGGCGACCCCACCTCCACTGCAAAGGACACTGTGGATACTTCAGTGGCTCGCGTGCCAGTCAAAAGTTGACCAAACCAGGAGGAGGAAATCTTGGACGAGGATGTGGAGTGGGAAGGGGACACAGAGGCAGAGGATGACTCGGAGGTCAGAGATGCAAGCATCCAGGAACGCTTTTCTACCTCAGTGGAGGCTAGCCAATCACAGCTGTTGGATGTTGGCAAAGCACAAACAGGAGAGGAGGCCCCGATAAGTGGATTTGATTTTGGGAATTGCTGAAGTGAGTTGTTGGGGGAAGGAGGGTTGCACTCAATACCCATCCCTCTGCAGTTTGGCCCTGCTGAAGAACAGTACCGACTGCATTGTACTTCAAAGGAAAAGGTTGGATAGGATCCCTGGACATACACAAATCTTTAGCCATCCCAGGACCCCTCCTTCTCCTGGGACCTTCCTTTCCCCCATTACCCTCACTGCTAATGTTTTTTATTTGTTTGACTCTCCTCCACTTGTTGTTTTTTAATAAAAGAATTGTGTTGGTTTGAAAGCCATCTGTATTCTATGAATTGAAAGCAAAAAGAGCCCTCCTCAGCAACATACAATTATGTTAAACCCACATATTGCATCATCTGCACCCACCTCCTAGCATTGCAAGCACTGCAATCCTGAGCATAGCAAAAAATACTAGTGGCTTTCGGCTTCAAATTGCTGCCTCAAGGCATCTCTGATCCTTATGGCGCTGCGCTGCGCCCCTCTAATAGCCCTGGTTTCTGGCTGTTCAAACTCAGCCTCCAAGTGCTGAGCCTCTACGATCCAGCCCTGAGTGAAGCTTTCACCCTTCCTTTCAAAAATATTATTGATCATACAGCATGTGCCGATAAGCATCGGAATATTGCCATCAACCAGGTCCAGCTTTCCACAGAGGCAGCACCAGCGGCCTTTTAAATGGAAAAAAGCACATTCAATGGCTATTCTGTACTTGCTCAGCCTGTTGTGGTACCACTCCTTGCTGCTGTCAAGTTGCCCCGTGTATGGTTTCATAAGTCATGACATTAAAGTGTAGGCGGGATCTCTCAGGATCACAATGGGCATTTCAACTCCCCCTACGATGATCTTCTGGTCTGGAAAGAAAGTCCCTGCTTGTGGCTTCCTGAACGGGCCAGTGTTCCAAAAGATGTGTGTGTCATGGACCTCTCCAGACCAGCCTGCGGTAATGTCTGTGAAATGGCAGCCATGATCCACAAGCACCGGGAGAACCATTGAGAAATACCCCTTGCGATTAATGTACTCAGTGGCTAGATAGTCTGCTGCCAGAATTGAAATATGTGTGCCATCTATCTGCAGTTAGGGAAGCCCATTTGTGCAAAGCCATCCACAGTGTCACCCACACTGTCCAGAGTCAAAGTCTATCGGAGTGGGATGCGATTAATGGCCCTGCAGACTTCCGTCAACAGGAGTCCAACGGTCAACTTTCCCACTCCAAACTGGTTAGTGACCGATCAGTAGCGTTCTGGAGTAGCCAGCTTTCACAGTTCAATCGCCACGTGCTTCTCCAGCGGCAGGGCAGCTCTCATTCTCCTGTCCTTGTGCTGCTGGGCTGAGGTGACCTCATCAGATAGTCCCATGAATGTGGCTTTCCTCATCAGACATTCTGCAGCCACTGCTCTTCATCCCACACGTGCATCACCATGTGATCCAACCACTCAGTGCTTGTTTCCCGAGACCAAAAGCGGTGTTCCATTGTGGTCAGCACCTCCGTGAATGCCACAAGCAATCTCGTATCGTAGCTACTACCGATGGCGAAATCAATGTCGCACTCCTCTTACCTTTGTAGTTTAAGGAATAACTCCACTGCCACTTGTGACGTGTTGGTCAGAGCGAGCAGCATACTGGTCAACAGTTTGGGATCCATTCCTGCAGCCTGATGAGGCAGGACACGCAATACACAAACTGTTGAAAGATGGCACCAAATGCAGACAGAAGCACAGGAAATACTGGGATGCAAAGCAATGCATAACGGGGTACTTAGACAGGACCCAGGATTCCCCCAGACCCTCTCTGCTTTCCCACAACTCTGAGCGGCAGACGAGAAAGAGGTGCTCTGTGGGATAGGTGCCCAGAGTGCACCGCTGCAAATACTGCTGCAAATGCTGCAAGTGTGAACATGCTATTGCCCAGGCAGCTGACAGTGTGAACACACAACAGCCATTTCCATCACGTGGAGTCGAACAGACGGGCTGTCCTCTCTCAAGCTCTGCGCTAGCTCCATCCCCAGCTATGGGCTGGATGCAGGAATCCCTGGGTTATTTTCTGGCCCGTGCAGTGTGAGAGGCCGGATCAGCCTGCTCCCTTCCTGTCCTGAGAATCTCTGAATTAATGGTTCGGCCTTCGCTCCCAGGGGAACTGTGATGCCGTCACCTCCCCAGCTCCCTCGTCCTCCACAGAGTCTCCCTGGGGGAGATGGACTGGAGCTGAATTTCTAAGAAGTGCCCTGTTTCTAGTTCCCTTCCTAGGAAAGCACAATGGGCTTCCACAGCCCGCTGTGCTTCCCCTTTGCACATCACCTCGGGCACTCAGCCCACGGGTCCTTTAATATCCGGTTCTTCGCGCCGGGGTGTGGTTAATGACTCAGAGCAACAGGCTGTAAATAAACACCAGCAGGAGGGGGTGGATTTGGGCCGATACCTGAGTGAAAAGCAGACTGTGTTGTCTTTTCACCGCCCTCGCCAGTGCTTCCCCTTTCCAAGTGTGTGTGTCCATTGCATGGACGTACTGGGTGACCTTGGGTAAGTCAATACCCCTCACTGTGCCTCAGTTTCCCCATCTGTAAAGTGGAGAGAATGCTCCTCCCTTTGCCTATTGCCATGACCCTTTTGGGTCACAGACTGGATCACTGTGTGTCTGTGCAGCACCGAGCGTGATGTGGCCCTGATCTCAGTCACCTCTGGGCAGCACCTGGCATAACGGGGGCCCTGATTTTGGTGGGCTCTGGGTGCCACCCGGCACAATGGGCAGGGCCGGATTTCAAATTAAGCACAGTAGGCACATGCCTAGGGACACCGGTATTCTATGGGGCACCTAAAAATTCAAATTTTACCACTCTCAGGTCCCAGCAGGGGACAGGGCTAGCAAAGGGGGTGATAGCACCACACAGCCCTGCTGCTGGAGCTCTCCTTGCTCCGCCCGGCAAACAGCATCACCTCCCAGGGGCCAGTGAGTGTGGGCCTGGGGGAGGGCTTGGGAGTGGGTCTCTGGGGGAGTTCATGCAGCAGCTCTGGGAGGAGGGGGTGAGGGGTGCTGGCATTGGGCGGAGGGGGCGCTGAGTGGTGGTTATCATCTGCCCATGGTGCCTTACCCTGTCTCTGCCTTCCAGGGCTCTGCATCGCCCTGTGCCTGTGGGGCACCATGGCCCAGAATCATGGTGTACAAGGTAAGTCTGACTCCTCCTGGCTAACCTTCCCCAGCGCTCCCAGCTGCCCGGGGTCTCCAGCCTCCGCCCCCTCCGTTCCTGTTCCCTTGTGGGAGGAGAGCAGAGTCAGGGTCTGGTGAGCCGGGAGCAGCCCCTTGGCATGGGCGTCTTGGGGTGGGTTTATAGAGCACGGTGGGTGCGTGCAGGGGAGAGGAGAAGGCCCCTGCGTAGCCCTCCCCTTCCCTTCCCAGCCCCGTGGCCAGCAGAGAATAGACACTGGGGCCCAGGGCTCTACACTGGGGGGCTGGAGTGAGGGGCAGATCCCCTTTGTAGCCAAGGGCCGTGTTATTGACCAGCCCGAATCAAACCCCTGATGGCTCAGACGTTAGAAGTGGCATTTGTAGGTGCCCCCCCCCCTCTAAAATTGGACTGAACTGAAACCTGGGACCCATGTGCCCAGCTGGGGGTGTTTGGGATCCGGACTCTGCGCCCCGAGCCCAGCTCTGCTGCGAATCCCAAAATGGGATTTGGGCAAATTCCCTTTGACCCACTGGGGTCCCCCAGTGCTGCTCCCACCCTGCTCCGTCTGCTCCCATCCCAACCCTGCAGCCGGCTAAGCTGCGCTGGGATCCTTCCCCTCACGCTGGCCAGAGGGACGGGTCCCAGCGGAGCCCCAGACACCGGGCAGCTAAAGGATCCAGGAGCCCCCGTAGGCAGGTCACAGTCTGGGTCATGGGAGGCAGCTCCGGATCCAAACTAGCCTCGGGCCCGACTCCGCTCTCAGTCAATCCAGAGCAGAGCCGGGCAGGAACTTCCCAAGGAACCATTTTTTGCCAGAAAATTCCGATTCGGTTCAGAGGAATGTTTGGTTTTACTCGGGGATAAATTGCATGGGCAAGAGGCAGATGCAATAATTTTCAAAATTAATTCCTGTTTTCCGGTTGGAAGTGAGGTTTTGGTTTGAAATTGATGCTAATGAGAGTAACGACGACAGCAACAAAAAGGAGAAAAATTGGGTGAGATAAAAAATGTTTCACTTGAACCGACGCCCGGCTCCGGCGGCTCTGCCTGTCTGTGCTGGGGGCTCCCCGGGAAACCAAGGCCCCTGTGCAGCCGACGGCAGCTTGTTGCAGGCGGTGGATGGCGTCGGAGCTGTTTGCCAGGCACCCAGGGACAAAAATCAGTGAATGGGGCGTGTGAAAGGAGACAATCCCATTGTGGGGCGGGGGGGGAGAGCCGCTCTGCACTGGCTGACCCTGCCCAGCTGTTCCCGCCCCTGCAGGTACCACTGAGGACTGCAACAGCCATGTGCTATGCCCAGCAAATGCCAAGTGTGTGAACAACACCCACTGCACCTGCCTGGATGGATACCAGTCACATGGGAATCGCTCCTTCTTCACCGACACAACGGAGATCTGTGACGGTAACGGGGGTCCCACCTTGTCCTGGGGGGGGGGCTGGGACAGAGCAGGGGATTAAGGGCTGGAACAGCCAACTCCATTGATTCCAGGGTCTCTTGGGGGTGCTCAGCCCAGCTGGGGAATAATGGGGGCCAGCAGCACGGGTGAGAGTTGCCCTCCTGGGGATCGAACCGGGGCCTCCAGAGTGAGCAGCCGGAGTGGCTGCAGCAGGAGTCAGGAGCGTTGGGCTCTGTGAATTGGGCACAGGGTGGGGGGGGCCATCACACAGACCCAGCTGAATCCCAGCCTGGGCCCTAATCAGCCCCTGGGTGTCCAGGGGCAGAGGGGCCCCACTGATCCCTGCCCAGAGGAGAGAATGGGGCAGCCCTGGCTATACTTCCCCATCCCCCCAGCCGGCAGGGATCCAAGGAGAGAGGGGACAGAGGAGAGGCAGCTTGTCATCCCCCGCAACACACAGGGAGCCTAGAGCCCCAGAGAGACGTATCCCCTCATTTCCTCACATGGGGGATCTGGGTGTTTGTGGGGCTGAACCCCCAATACCAGGGACAGGAGGCTCGGAAGGGTGTTTCCGACATTCCAGAAGCAGAAATGGGTAACTGAGAATCAGGCCCTTAATCGCTAACCGCTCAGAGACCCGGTCGTTTGGTTCCTGTCACCAGCTCAGTGAGGGTCTTGGGGGGCGTGATACACGGAACGTCTCTCTGCCAGGACTGTACAGAGCGTCCCCTCTTGCATTACAGATATTGACGAGTGTCTGGGGCCGAGCCCGACAGACTGCGGATGCAACGCAATCTGCATCAATGTGGCTGGGAGTTACTACTGCACCTGCATCGATGGCTACGAGCCCAGTTCTGGGAAAGCCAGCTTCACGCACGCGAGTGAAAAAACCTGCCAGGGTGAGCTCTCCCCTGGCCCCCACCTGCTGAGACCCACCCTCGCACACACAAATGCTCGTTCCAGGCCTGGCACTGCACAGGGGCTGCTGGAATGTGGTTACACAGTCATTGTGTTTTGGCAATGCTGGCAATACCAGTGCCGAGTTCATGCACTGGACAGTGAACTTGCAGGCAACCCTCTGCACAGAGTCTCGGTGTAGCTAAAATCTTTAATAACAGGAGGTACACAACTCAGCATTAAGTTGGGAAAACACCACAACTAGGGTTCATAAATACAAACCATGAACCAGATGACCGACCCCCAAGAAGACTGGGCCGTGTCCTTTCCCTTTGGTTCTTGAGTCCAGCAACCCAAAAGTCACCTCTCCCAAAGTCTCTGTCCTTGGCCAGTGCAGCCCAGAGTTCAGAAGTTCATGTGCAGAGTTTACCTCCCAGGCTGGGTGGAAGGTACGGGGGCACCTTACATGCTCCGTTATTTGGGTTGACGGCTGATTGCCAAGCCTCTCCTTGGCGTTCTGCTGCAGTCTTCATCGCCAACCACGCCTTTCCACCAGCCGCCCAGCTGGCCGCTCAACTCCACCAGCCATCCTGCAACCTATCTACCAATATGTCTTCAGGCGCCCCCCAACCCCTTAACTCAGCTCTTAGTGATTTCAGCTTTTAATATGGGAGCTTCAGTGCTGGTTCACTCAGAATCACTAACCCAAAGTAGGCCTCAGTGATTTCAGTTCTGCACTATACAACAAGACTGCTAATAGATCCAAAATTACACAGTGGAGAAGTCAAAATACTGTTCAGGACCCTCAGAGCACTCACACTACCAAGCACAAATACCCACTCTCCCTCAATTCACTGGGTTTGGAACCCATGTCCCTTGCCTAGAGCGTGCTACTTTTGAGGGCAAGTCCCTCAGTCATAAAATGCCAAGGACAGTTCTACTGTCCTTCATTCACATAACCAGGGTAACAACACTTTATTACTCCTGCCCCAATAACAAAGAGACTGGGGATCCCAGAGCAGCCAAAGTGACCATTTGGGCAAACAGTCCCATCATGCTAGGCAGGGTGGGTGTGCCCATGCAAACGAGATCAGCTCCTGAAGTCCTTTTCCACAGCTCACCACCAGATGTCAGGGGAGAGCTCATTCTGACTCTGCTTACACTTTGATTCACCAAGCCAGCAACAAAACAGCTGCTCCAATACCCTGCTCCTTACCCAGAAGCCAATAACACAGCTCCCGGCTACATTCTAGCGTGGCTTTAAAGGGAGAATTTGGGTCATTTAGCCGGCAAGTTGCTTAACCCTTTCTGGCTCATTGTCCCACAGGTCCGGACTTTTGCTCAGAGCATCACTTCTGCTGACTTTGGTTCGGGCCTTGTGCCAGGCCCCTGCTCCAGGCTCTCTCTGCTCCAGCTCCATGTCACTCCCAGAGGGCAGCGCTGTGAGGGGACATGTGCTGGAACCAGCCCCAGGCTTCCCTCAGACACCCTGACTTCCAGCGGCATGGCGCGGGGACACACGGGCTGGCCAGCTCCGCATCACTCCCCCAGGGCAGGGAGTTTGTCCAGGGCACAGCCCGAGAGGTCTCTCTGGGCTCACAGTCCAGTGGATTGGGAGACCCCTTTGCGCTGGTGAAGCTGGCGCATGTACCAATGCCAGTCCCCTGGCAGGGGATACCCACATGCTGGTGTCTCCACTGGGGGACGCTGGAAGCTGCCAGCTGCTAAATCGCTTTGTGCTGGTCCCTGTCTGTGCTCCCTGAGTCAGCAAAGCACATGCTTGGCTCCATCCCTGCCCAGCTACGCACTTAACTTGGCTCCAGTGGGTCTCAAGTGCATGGCTGAGCTCGTGACGACAATCCCAGGCATTAAACAAAAGTCAGCTTAGCTTAGACAATCACGAGCTTTAGAAAGACCAATGAGCAAGGGGCAGTGTGTGGAGTGAATTGTATTGAAAAGGGGCAAATTCAAAGCAGATACAAGGAAATACTCCTCCACCCGGGGCAGCATTAACTTCTGAAACTGGCTGCCACCACAGCCTGGAGCCTGTGAATGTGTCGAGTTTTAAAGAGGGTCCGGCTGTTTCTATGGGGAACGACAATGCCTGGAGCTGTGCTAGTTAATGGACAATAATTCTGGGAGGGAGGGAAAATCTCCCACTTCAGTGCTTAAGCTTGTCATGCGAGCCCCCTAGCCCGCAAGCAGGTCCAGGAAAGCCCCTTGCAGATGTAAAGTGAGAGCTTGTGATGCTAACACAGTTTTCAATACACCATATTCTCAAGTGGCCGTTACACTGCCAGAGCAGCCAACCCCACTGACAGAACAAGGAGCAATGGTCTCAAGTTGCAGTGGGGGAGGTTTAGGTTGGATATTAGGAAAAACTTTTTCACTAGGAGGGTGGTGAAGCACTGGAATGGGTTCCCTACGGAGGTGGTGGAATCTCCTTCCTTAGCGGTTTTTAAGGCCCGGCTTGACAAAGCCCTGGCTGGGATGATTTAGTTGGGAATTGGTCCTGTTTTGAGCAGGCGGTTGGACTAGATACCTCCTGAGGTCCCTTCCAACACTGATATTCTATGATTCTATGACCCTATCACGCTAGGTGCTGTACATTATTAGGTGTATTATGGTAACATCCAGAGCCCCACTCATGGCTAAGTGTAGACTGAGCATAGCTGAGAATCGGGCCTGTGATTGCTAAGCTCCCAGGGGTCTGGTCTCCTCAGTTACATCACTCAGCTCTGCACAGGTGGGTGATACAGGAACGTCTCCTTGGCAGGACTGTACAGAACATCCCCTCTTGTGTTGCAGATATTGACGAGTGCCAGGGACACGCAAAGTGCACCAATGTGCCTGGGAATTACTTCTGCAACTGCATCAATGGCTCAAAGTCCAGCTATGGGAAAGAAAAGTTCACCCACGCGAGAGAGAACACCTGCCAGGGTGAGCTCTCCCCTGTCCGCCTTCTGCTGAGACCCCCCCACTCGCACACACAAATGCTCCTTCCAGGCCTGGTGCTGCACCGGGGCCGCTGCCGGCTTTGACTGTGGGCCGAGGCCGTCAGCGAGGTTGTGATGGGACATGACCCACGCCTGCTCCCGCACAGCATGGGGCCGGGCTCACCCCGTGCCTGGAGCTTGGACAGGGAATTAACAGACCCACAGTGATTAACATAACCCTTGTGCTGCAGAGATGTGCTGAGAAGAGGGGAGGGGACCCTCGCTGGCCCCAGCTCACAGCATCTGGGCTGCTAGTGTCCCCGTGAGCCTGGGATGGTGCCTCGTGTATGAACCATGGAAATAGCACAGAGCTCTCTGCCCCCTTTGGGCCCTGGTGAGGAGAGAATAGCCACAGCACAGTGTACTGCTGCCACATCCCTGATCCTCCCTATAGGTCCTGGGGATCAGGGAATAGCTGCAGTACTGTGAACCCCATCCACACCCCCAGTCTTCCCTCTTTGGGTCCTACGGTGCAGAGAATAGCTGCAATACTTGGCACCCAGGCCTCAGCCCCCTACATCAGGGGCTAGGAGCAGGGTGGGGGCAGGACCCCTACAGCTCCACACCTGCTGGGGTGGCCCCTTTTGCAGGGTGGGGGATTCTCGAGTGGCCGTTCCGCTGCCAGAGCAGCCTAGTGCCACCTGAGTGTAGCTGGGAATCAGGCCTGTGATTGTTAAGCTGCTACTGGCACCTTCACCTGCTGGGTCCCGTCACCCAGCTCAGTGCGGGGGGATGGTGGGTGATACGGGGAACGTCTCTCAGGCAGGATTGTACAGAACATTCCCTCTTGTGCTGCAGATATTGACGAGTGTCAGGTCCCGAGCCTGGCAGACTGTGGACCCCACGCACACTGCACCAATGTGCCTGGGAATTACTCCTGCAGCTGCATTGATGGCTACGAGTCCAGCACTGGGAAAACCAACTTCACCCACGCGAGTGAGAACACCTGCCAGGGTGAGCTCTCCTCTGATCCCCATCTGCTAAGACTCCCCCCCTCAGACACACAAATGGTCATTCTAGGCCTGGCGCTGCACCGGGGCTTTTTCCAGATTTGGCAGTGGCCCGAGATCATCAGCAAGGCTGTGATGTGACGTGACCCTTGCTTGCTCCTGAAGAGCAAGGGGTCGAGCTCACCCCTTTGCCTGAATGGGGAATAAACAGACCCTCGGAGAAAATTCCTTGTTCTGCAACGATGCTCTGGGGAGAGGGGAAGGGACCTTTTCTGGCCCCAGAATGCAGCTTTTGGGCTGCTAGTGTCCCTCTGAGCTGGGAAGGGGCCTCGTGTCTGGGCCATGGAAATAGCACAGTGCGCTCTGCCCCTTATGGGCTGTTTTGAGGAGAAAAGACCTACAGCACAGTGCGCCCCAGCCAGGCCCCGATCCTCCCCTATGGGCCCTGGGGAGCAGGGAATAGCTGCAGTGCTGGGCACCCCGGCTCAGCCCCTACATCAGGGGCTAGGAGCATGATAGGGGAAGGATGCCTATAGCAGCTCCACTCCAGCTGGGGTGGCCCCTTTTGCAGGGCAGGGTATTCTCAAGGGGCCGTTCCGCTGCCAGAGCAGCCTAGTGCTGCCTGAGTGTAGCTGGGAATCAGGCCTGTGATTGTTAAGCTCCCAGGGGCCCGATCGTATGAGTCCCATCACCCAGCTCAGTACAGGTGGCTGATACAGGAACGTCTCCCTGCCAGGACTGTACAGAACATCCCCTCTTGTGTTGCAGATATTGACGAGTGTCAGGGCCCGAGCCCGGCAGACTGCGGACCCCACGCAAACTGCACCAATGCGCCTGGGAATTACTCCTGCAGCTGCATTGATGGCTACAATCTCAGCTCTGGGAAAGCCAACTCACACGCGAGTGAGAACACCTGCCAGGGTGAGCTCTCCCCTGGTCCCTATCTGCTAAGAGTCCCCTCCCTGCCCCCCCTCCCCCCGCACACACAAATGCTCGTTCCAGGCCTGGCGCTGCATCGGGGCTGCTGCCAGCTTTAGCCATGGTCCAAGGCCGTCAGCAAGGCTGTGAAGAGACGTGACCCTCACCTGCTCCCTCAGAGCATGGGGCCGAGCTCACCCCCGTGCCCGGCGCTTGTATGGGGAATAAACAAACCCACGCAGCAAACTCCTTGTGCTGCAGAGATGTGCTGGGGAGAGGAGAGGGGACCCTCACTGGCCCTAGCACACAGCTCCTGGGCTGCTCATGTGCTCCAGAGCGTGGGATGGGGCTTCGTGTATGAACCATGGAAATAGCACAGTGCGCTCCGCCCTCATGGGCCCTGCTGAGGAGGGAATAGCCACAGCGCAGTGAGCCCTGCCACACCCCATATCCTCCCCCATGGGTCCTGGGAGGCAGGGAATAGCTGAAGTTCAGGGCACCATGGCGACACCCCCAATCTTCCCTCTTTTCTTCCTGGGCTGCAGGGAATAGCTGCAGCACTGAGCACCCTGGCCTCAGTCCCTACAACAGGGGCTACGAGTAGGGCGGGTGCAGGATGCCTACAGCAGCTCCACACCAGCTGGGGTGGCCCCTTTTCCAGGGTGGAGGATTCTCCAGTGGCCGTTCCGCTGCCAGAGGGGCCCAGTGCCGCCTGAGTGTAGCTGGGAATCAGGCCTGTGATTGTTAAGCTGTTAGGGGCCAGGTCGCCTGGGTCCCATCACTCAGCTCAGTGTGGGGGCTGGGACGGGTGATAAGTGGAATGTCTCCCTGCCAGGCCTGTACAGAGCATTCCCTCTTGTGTTGCAGATATTGACGAGTGTCAGGGCCCGAGCCCGGCAGACTGCGGACTCCACGCAAACTGCGTCAACGTAGCTGGGAGTTACTACTGCACCTGCATCGATGGCTACGAGTCCAGCTCTGGGAAAGCCAACTTCACACACGCGAGTGAGAACACCTGCCAGGGTGAGCTCTCCCTTGACCCCCACCTGCTGAGACCGCCCCCTCACACACACAAATGCTCGTTCCAGGCCTGGCGCTGCACCGGGGCTTTTTCCAGCTTTGGCAGTGGCCTGAGGCCATAAGTGAAGTTGTGATGAGACGTGACCCTCGCCTGCTCCTGCAGAGCATGGGGCTGGGCTCACCCCTGTGCCCTGCGCGTGGATGGGGAATAAACAGACCCACAGAGCAAGCTCCTTGTGCTGCAGCGATGTGCTGGGGAGAGGGGAGGGGACCCTCACTGGCCCCAGGAGGCAGCATTTGCACTACTAGTGTCCCTCTGAGCCTGGGACGGGGTGTCGTGTATGAACCATGGAAATAGCACAGTGCGCTCCGCCCCCATGGGCCCTGGTGAGGAGAGGATAGCCACAGCACCGTGTGCCCCAGACCCACCCTTGATCCCCCCGCCATGGTCTTGGGGGGCAGGGAATTGTTACAGCACAGTGTGCCCCTGCCACACCCCTGACCCTCCCCCATGAGTCCTGGGGGGCAGGGCATAGCTGCAGTGCTGGGCACCCCGACCTCAGCCCCTATATCAGGGATTAGGAGTAGGGTGGGTGCAGGATGCCTATAGCAGCTCCACACAAGCTGGGGTGGCCCCTTTTGCAGGGTGGGGGATTCTCCAGTGTCCGATCCACTGCCGGAGCAATCTAGTGCCGCCTGAGTGTAGCTGAGTGCCAAGTCAGTGATTGTTAAGCTGCTACTGGCACGTTCGCCTGCTGGGTCCCATCACCCAGTTCAGTGCGGGGGCTTGGCCTTGTGATGCGGGTAACGTCTCTCTGGCAGGATTGTACAGAACACCCCCTCTTGTGTTGCAGATATTGACGAGTGTCAGCGCGCAAGCCTGGCAGACTGCGGACCCCACGCAAACTGCACCAATGTGCCTGGGAATTACTCCTGCAGCTGCATCGATGGCTATGAGTCCAGCTCTGGGAAAACCAACTTCACACATGGGAGTGAGAGCACCTGCCAGGGTGAGTTCTTCCTTGCTCCCCACCTGCTAAGACTCCCCCGCCTTGGACACACAAATGGTCGTTCTAGGTCTGGCGCTGCACTGGGGCTTTTTCCAGCTTTGGCAGTGGTCTGAGGCCATCAGCGAAGCTGTGATGAGATGTGACTCTCACCTGCTCCCGCAGAGTATGGGGCTGGGCTCACCCCTATGTCCGGCACTTGGATGGGGAATAAAGAGACTTGCGGAGAAAATTCCTTGTGCTGCAGTGATGCGCTGGGGAGAGGGGAGGGGACCCTCGCTGGCCCCAGCATGCAGCATCTGGGCTGCTAGTGTCCCTCTGAGCCTGGGAAGGGGCCTCGTGTCTGGGCCATGGAAATAGCACAGTGCGCTCTGCCCCCTATGGGCCCTGTTGAGGAGGGAATAGCCACAGCACAATGTGTCCCAACCACGCCCCCGATTCTCCCCCATGGGTCCTGGGCACAGGGAATAGCTGAAATACAAGGCACTATGGTGATACCCCTAATATTCCCCCTTTTGGCCCTGGGGGCCAGGGAATAGCTTCAGTGCTGGGCACCCCGACCTCAGCCCCTACATAGGGGGCTAGGAATAGGGTGAGTGCAGGATGCCTATAGCAGCTCCACACCAGCTGGGGTGGCCCCTTTTGCAGGGTGGGGGATTCTCGAGTGGCCGTTCCGCTGCCAGAGCAGCCTAGTGCCGCCTGAGTGTAGCTGAGAATCAGGCCTGTGATTGTTAAGCTGCCAGGGGCCCGGTCACCTGGGTCCTGTCACCCAGCTCAGTGCGGAGGCTGGACTGGGTGATATGGAGTATGTCTCTCTGGCTGGACTGTACAGAACGTCCCCTCTTGTGTTGCAAATATTGACGAGTGTCAGGGCCCGAGCCCGGCAGACTGCGGACCCCACGCAAACTGCACCAATGTGCCTGGGAATTACTCCTGCACCTGCATCGATGGCTACGAGTCCAGATCTGGGAAAGTCAACTTCACATACGCGAGTGAGAACACCTGCCAGGGTGAGCTCTCCCCTGGCCCCCACCTGCTGAGACCCTCCTTGCACACACAAATGCTCATTCTAAATGGCGATGCAGCCGGGCTGCTGCTCGCTTTGGCAGTGGCCAGAGGCCGTCAGCAAAGCTGTGATGAGACATGTACC